ATGCGCGTGCGTGTGTGTGTGTGTGTGTGTGTGTACACACACACACACACGCATACATACATACATAATTACTATTATTTATTTTCCTGAATAGTAACAAAAAAAAGAACAAGAACAAGACACAAAGAAAATGATGACCGAAATACCTACATTCACAAAGAAAAAAGCAACAGATAAAAAGTGCTTTAAAAAAAGTGGGGAAAAAACAGAAAAAAGAAACAAAGTAAAATATATCGTTATAACAGTTAACAGTTACAATCCTATATATACTTATCTAATGTCAATATTATTCAAGCGCATATGTATTTATTTCTAATGCACTTGTATAACTATCGTTCTTTTTTAACCTACCGCGCTTTGTATCAACGAGTCCTGTATTTCATGATACTTGTCCATGCAAAGTCTACATCTACAGGCAATTCACTCCCAGGTGGCAAGTGCAATCAAGTCTTCAGTCCACTGAGTAAATGGGGAGGGCTCTTCGTCTTGATGGCCGTGGAACTGCCTCTGAAGGCCATCTGCTGGGAGACTAGCCGGCTTCTTTGTGTAATTCACTGGCCACTGTGAGAACAGATTCCTGGACGAGATGGGCCAGGGGTCTGATCCAGCAGGGGCTGCTTAGGTTCTTCTGTTCATGTTCTGCCCAAGAACATGTGGGTTTGTTCACATGGATGCTTAAGCATGCAAGTCATATGAGTCTGGAACATAAGGACCCTCTTGTGGAATCCAATATCTCATTTCCCATGCTGGCCAGATAGCACTTCCCACTCTGAATGGCAGGAAAGCAGGATCCCCTTCTCCCTATTTTTGCCCCAGCAGCTGGCATGCAGAGTTTTACTGCCATGGAACATGGAAGTTCTACTCTTTCACTCAGTAGCACAAGATGCAGGGGTGGTCTCCAGTTTAGAGCAAACATTTCCAACCTACGGTTGGACAACGCTGCCTGTGATCTCTGGTATGGGTGTCAATTTAACAGCCAAAACTTTGGGAAATCACTCTATCTCCCAGGATTCTGGCATTCTTGCCTGAAATCTTGCAAGAGTGCAAGTGGCCATTTTTTAAAAAAATCAGCAATCACAAGATTTCAGCCATCTTTTTTTAAAAAAATAAGCAAACAAATAATAATAACAACAATAATAACAATTATATATTTTTTTAATTTGGGGATCTTATGGCATGTGGCTGGTACCCACAGTCAGTTGTTTATGTGGTGGTCCTCAAAGCTTTTGATAATCTGATTGTGGTATGTATAATGGAAAGTACAGGAGCTTTTCCTTCTTGAGCAAGTCGAGTTAGAGAAACATTTGAAGGATTACGGCTCTCAGAAGCTACTCGTCCTCATGTGGCTTATATATCAGTTCTGGGGAAAAAGAAAATGTGCTTCTGGAACACCAGATGCCAGAAGGAAAATCCTTATCCTCCTTTCCTGCTTGTAGGCTTCTAAGAAGCACCTGGTAAGTTACTGGGAAAAACAGGATGCTTTCTTGCAGAGAGAGTCATCCCCGATCCCTCCAGATGTTGTTGGACAGCAATTCCCATCATCTCAGAATTCCCACAGTGGCTGGGACTGATGGGAGTTAGAATTTGGCAACATCTGGGGGACCATAGATTGCCCAACCCTGCTGGATTTGAAGGAATTGGTTCCAATTATTGGCCAACCCATTTAACGAGAGCCATCAGGAAAACTAGGTGCTGGGACCAGTGAAGAGCTGGCCAAGTAGACATTCCACTCAACCCGTTGCAGTAAGATGTGTTGTCAATGTATTGTAGATATTTTGAAATCTTTATATGATATGCAGTAACAATAATACATTATAATCAAGTTTAATGTTACTATCAGATTTAACAAAGTGTGTGAATGCAATTATCTTTGATCCTCTCTGGCAATGGATCTCTTTGAAGGCAATGTACCTTTTCTTATTTCTCTTTCAGCCCGTCCAATTTCACCTCCCGAAAGCTGTCTCGGAATGAAATGTACCTGGTGGATTCTGGGGGCCAGTATTTGTGAGTATGGGCATCAAGAGCCATGTTCTTGAGCCAAGGTCAGATGCCACCATTTGGCAGAAAATTTCAAAGCCTGGCTAAGGGTAGAAATTGGGGTGTGCTCAGAGAACAGCTGTTTAGTTTGACTGATTATGTCCCATCAAGTTGATGTTGAATCTTAGCAACCAGATAGGTAAATTTTTCTCCAGAAGGATCTGTCCCCAACCTGATCCTTCAGGTCTTCCAACAGTGCTATAATTGAGGCCATCCACCTTGCAGCTGGTTGTCCTCTTCTCTTTCCTTCCACAGCTTTTTAGTACAAGGTTGACCAACCAGCCACTTTTTGCTTAATTGAAACTTTGAGATTTAGGGGCACCAGAGAGGATCTATCAGAAGAAAATAAATAGTGATATTTGATCTTAACAGAGAGGGGTAGACATAAATACATAACAGAAGTCATTCCTTGGAGGAAGATCAGAATAGAGGTCTTAATGCATTTCAAAATATTCTCTTTCACGATAAAAACAGACAGCTATCATCTTAAAAAAAAAAAATACTAGAAGCCTTCAATTCACCAAAGAATTTGAGGCAAAAGTTATTCCTTTGGAATCAAAGAATTAAGTTTTGAGTAGCAGAATTGAAAGGAGCCTGGTTCACACACCCCTGTGGTTAGGGATGATTTATTGCGCAACACTGGTCGCTGGGGCAATTTGTTACCATTCTTAATAAATAACCCAGCATCAGAAATTTCTCCTGATCAGCTGTAAATAACCCAGGGACTGGATACTATCCTTCTCCCACCCTTGATTTAAAGGCAGTGCTAAAACAAAGACTTTGCTGGGTAAAGCAGACATGATGACCACAGTCTCGTGACTGTCCTGGGAAATCAGAAGCTTTGTTGGGGGGCTCAGTGGAGGAAGTTCCATCTTAAAGCAGCTTCTTCCTTGTTTGTGGAGTCCTCGGTGCCCTCTGAGCTTGGTTGTTTGCTTACAGACGTTTCATTACCCAACTAGGTAACATCATTTCCTTGTTTCTCTTGTTAGCGATGGGACAACAGACATCACCCGGACCATCCACTGGGGGGAGCCCACAGCTTTTCAAAAGGTAAGGCTGATTCCCAAACACACCTGAATGGTACAGTACACCTGATATCAACAGCTGCCTCTTCCCCCAAAGCTCCAGAGATGATTCACTTTTTATTTCCTTGCTGGAAGGATGATGTTGGCTTAGAAGGTGGCTCCAAACACACTGGTATGAGGTTACTTTGGGACTAAGCTTTTAGCTGGCTTTCTCCAGGAAATCTAACTCCATCCTTGGGGGGGGGGCAGGAGAAGGAGGAGGAGGGTTCCCCCAAAGCAACCAAATCAGGCTTCCCTTGTGAAACCAATGGTGTCCTGGAGATCCATAATTGGCACCAGATGGGAGAAGGTACAAGCACTTCTCACTAAAATAATCAGGTGCCAAGTATTTTGTCCAGCAAAATGTAGAGTAGAATATTCACTAAAATGCACTGTGGTGTTTTCCAACAGTTAAGGGGGAAATGCTTTATTTGGAGAAGAAGGCAATATTAACTGTATTATCTTCAAGAAAATACTAGATAAATAATTGGAGAGATGGAATATGGAGGTCTTGTGAAAGAGATGTGCTTCTCCAGCACAGACATGTTTATTTTAGTTAAACTTATTTTAGTCTGTAGTAACTGGGCTGTTGTTTTATAAGTCCTTCATACAAGACATTTGCCGGATAGTTATATATATTCTGGATTCACACATCACACTAAGCCATGGATTGTTGAACCAGCTATACTGCATGGCTGACAAACTGTGGGGTTGAGTTGAAATATTGTGCTAAGCAAAACCAAGAGAGGCTATGGCTTTGCATATGTGAATCTATCCACTGTGCAATTTGGTGTCTGAAGTGCTGTTCCTGAAGTTCTGGTTGGTTGAGGAGAACTTGGGATTGGGTAACTTCCTGCTATAAAAATCTAGTATATATTATTTTCCAGGAAATGTAATTGATGCTTATCTTGGTTGAGCTGGTTTGATCCATATGAATATGGGGCAATTTTTGTTATTACTAATGTGCACAGCATCCCTCCCATACTGGAGCATCAAGAGCAATACCTGGTTCTGGACAAGTATATTAAGCAGGATAACCAACTGATTGGGACAGGGAAGGACACTGAAGAAACTCATCAGGAAAAAAAACAAGTCTATGTTGGCCTTTGAAGAAAGGCAGAGGGAACTGGCCATGTTCAGGTTAGAGAAGAATGGAGGAGTGAAGAGATCTTGCATGGAAGAGGGCAAAAATTGCACATCCAAAGGCTGGACCTGATCTACTGGACATACTGTATGTAGATCTCAGCTAAACATTAAAAGAAATTTCTGGACAATAGGAGCAATTCAACAATGGGATAAATTGCCTAGGCTAGTGGTGGGCTCATTGTTACAGGAGGTCTTCAACATGAGGCTGGAGAATTCCGTGGGTCATATTCTAGTTCTGGATTTCCTGCAGGGTTGTGTTAAGGGTATCTAAACCCCAAGTTCTAGGGTTGCTATGAATTCAGCTCATCCTTTTTCCTTCCAAATATGATTTCAGAACATCTTTTCCTCTCTAGGAAGCCTACACACGAGTGCTGATGGGAAATATTGACTTGAGCCGGCTTGTCTTTCCACCCAAAACCTCAGGTGAGAATTTGGGAGAGAGGGGAATGCAAGAAAGCAAGAAAAGCTAGTATTCCTACTGGTGACTTCCCAGGTTTTCTTCTCCAATTGTAATCTCAACTCCATCAACTCTCACACTTTGGGCATAGATACAACTGGGGTTTTCCTCAAGAGGACAGAACCTGGAAAGTAATAATATATAGTCTACTTCAGCTGATCCCAGACTGATGGGCTCCAGATGTGCCCTTGAAATTTCTGGCCAGAATGACCTGCAGCTATCTGGCACATCTGGAAGACAGTATGTTGGGAAAAGCTGAGCTAGAATAATTGCCGACAAATGTTTCGTTTTACCACACATATTTTGGACTGTCCTCTCTACCTCCTAAATGTCTTAGTCTTTAGAGTACTTATGTGTCTTTGTTTTATTGCAACAGTCTAGAACTGCATCCCCTCCAAAATTCTACTTAGCATGCTAGGTCCATCCATCCCTTTACATCATAAGGTGGTCAGTTTGTAGCATAGAATGATACACAAATGTTTGATGTCAGTGTTATCTGTGAACCACGATCCCTAAGGCCTATTTAGCATCCCATGCTTGAAAGACCCTATGATATTGCGAGAATCCAGCACCATGAACTTTCAGAAAGAAATTTGTCAGGATGCATAACCACCTGGGGAACACTTTCTTTCCGGGATTTTCTATGAAGCATAGAATCATAGCAGTGGAAGCCACCTTGGAAATCTACGAGTCCAACCCCGTGCTCAGAGCAAGAGTCCTCAGACCATCCCAGATCATTGCTTTCCAATCTTTGTTTGAAAAACTCCAGTGATGCTCCAGCAGGCTGTCCACTGCTTAATAATCTCACACTCGGGAAATTTCTCCTTATTTAAACCTTGGCGCTCTCTGTGAAGTTTCCACCCACTGGTTCTTGTCCTACTTTCAGGCATTACGGAGAATAAATCCATACCTTCTTCCCTGTGATATCCCTTCAAGTCTTAGAAAAACTGTTATTATGTCTCCCCTTAGCCTTCTCTTCTTTGGGCTAAACATACCCAGTTCTTTGAACTGTTCTTTACAGGGTTCAGCCTCCAAGCTCATCATCATCTTTGTAGCTCTTCTCTGCACTCTTCCAGTTTCTCAGCATCCTTCTTGTATGATGGCAGTCAAAACTGGGTGCAGAATTCCAGTGCAATGTAGAGCGGAACTATCACTTCCTGGGATTTCAACATCTTCTGAACATTCTTTGCCTTTCGGAAAATGCTGCTGCCGGCATTGGGGGTTTCCTATGTGCCTATGTTCTGGTTGTCCCAGAGGGGAGCAAATGCTTGATTAGATTGGCCTTTGTCTTTCTGGGCTCTTTTTATATTCTAAGAACAAAGCTGACCAGCTGAACTTCAGTTTGGGAAGGAGCATAAATGGGGGGAAAGAAGAAAGAGAGAAACCTGAATATTTTCCCGGCAGACACTAAGCAAGATTTGACTTTTGCACTGCAGGAAGAATGGTGGAACTTTTCGCTCGCCAGCCCTTGTGGGAAGTTGGGCTGAACTATGGCCATGGCACCGGTCACGGCATTGGCAACTTCTTGTCTGTTCATGAGTGTAAGTGGCATGAAGACCAGGTTAGGCTGCATGTCTTTGGCTGTTCAGTGACAGCAGATCTGGTGGGGAACCACCACTGATCGGTATCAGCCAGGAGTGGAGAAGCTATGGCTTTCCAGATGTTGCTACAACTGCCTCAACGTGCTGGTAGGTCTGCTGAGAGTTGTAGTTCCACAACATCTGAAGGGTCTATTTATTTATTTGTTTAACTCAATTCAGTTTAGGCAGTGCCCAACTCCAATTGACTCAATAGTTTCTCCACTCCTAGAGCAGACAATATGGTTTCATGGAGAAAAGTCTGTTTTGCTTTGTTTTATACATATGTTTCCCAAGTTTCTCACCATTCAGCTCTACATTTTGCTAAGCACATTCCCAAAATACTTTCCTGGATGAACAAGCTTTCCTGGGAATTGGGGTATCTGTCCTTCAGGCTTCCTTAATAGCAAAGAGGGAACATACCTTTATGATGTGAGACGATGTGGTCACCTTTGCAGAAGAGCTTAGTGTGATAGAGTACCCACCTTGCACACGGAAAGTTCCAATTCAGTCTTTAACACCTTCACATAAAGCTGGAAAAATTCATAATCTAAAACTCAGAAGAAGTGAGTGAAGACAATACAAAGCTAGATGTAGAATTAGCATTTATGGGCTGCAAAAATCCAGACAGTCCCTAGAAATCAGCCAAAGTTTATTACTTTGCTGGCATCTAGTGGTAATTTGGATTTTTGCAGCCTGTTAGTCCTGATGTAAGGCAGCTTCCTAATAACCTGTGCAAATGAGGTCCAATCCAATTTGCTGAAATGATTTGATTGATTTAAAGATCCACATTAATTCACTTTGAATTGTCAGTTTGAACATACAATCAAGGTAATTTCATTTAAAAGTCCAGTTCAATCTGGATGAATCTTCTGGAGGTGCAGAAGAATTTCTATAAATTGAATCAGCTTGCTTGATCCAACTCAGCAAATTGATTTGATAATCAAATTGCTGAAATGTTGTTGACTTGATGTAAGGAAGATTTGCAGAGCCATACTTCCTAATATTTTATGATGCGCTTCAGGTGTGGCAGTGAAACACACTGCACAGTGCATTATGTCTTGTAATTGCCATGGAAAGTCACAAGAAAAAGCAACACAACTCACAAGTTTTGCTGTATAACGGCTTGGGGTTGCCAACTATTTTGATCTAACAAAAATAACACTTTTCTCCCTCCCCTAGGGCCTGTAGGGTTCCAGTCCAACAATATTCCTTTGGATAAGGGGATGTTCACCTCCATAGGTAGGTCAACCTGATCTTCCTACCACACCAACCTGTATTCCCCAGTAGTGAACAAAGCCAGTTCAGAGTTTCTTGTTCTGAGTTACAGACACTGGAAGGACATTTTTTTCATCTCATAAAATGCTAGCTGCATTACTGTGCAAGAACACAGACGAGACTCTTACAACATTTTAATTCTCTTGAACCAGGCTGAGAATCCTGAAAACTATAATACCAAAGTATTTGGGGGATGCTAACCTTCCACACGTGCTAGCTCTTTTACACTTGGAATGCAGATCCTGAGAGAAATGGGGAAAATACTGTGTTACTCCTCCCATCCTGTGGAAATAGAATGATCAGTATTTGATAACCCATAGTGGCTTTCCCCAACCTGGTGCCCTCCAGAGGTTTTGGACTATAACTCCCAGAATTTGGCTGATGTTGGTTGGGCCTCCTGCAACCTTTTCTGCATCTAAGAGGTTGAAGAAAGATGCCACAGATCACCAGCCAAGGCTGATAAACCTCATCCCTCTCCAGACATCATAGGGCCCTGGCTCCCATCAGTCTGTATCAGCATGCTGATAATTGGGATGTTGCAAGAGTGTAGTCCAAAATCTTGGGAAGATCACAGGTTTCTTGCTTGTGCTTTATGAAGGCTTTTCCTACTGGTCATATTTTAGAGTGTGGAAGAGTGTGATGGGCTTGGGAATAAAAGACAACTTCTAGCCAATGTTGGCTGATTCACAAAGATGAGCAGATTATAGAGGCATCTCAGATTTTGTTCCCTGCTCCTTTTCTGCCTTTCTTTGTCTCTAGAGCCTGGTTATTACCATGATGGTGAATTTGGAATCCGTCTCGAGGATGTTGCGCTTGTGGTACAAGCTACGACCAAGGTGAGACACCTTCCCTGCCTTTGATCAGTCCATCCACAGTATGCCATCCACCAAAGGGGCACTTCTGGGCAGGCAGTTGGATATTATGAGCTAGGAAATGCAGTCTTAGCACGTAGATATATTGCAATACAGAGAGCAAGTCTTGCAGGATCCGGAATATTATCTGTAGACCAGTGTTCCTCAACCTTAGCAGCTTTAAGACGCGTGGACTTCAACTCCCAGAATTCCTCAGCCAGCTGGGGAATTCTGGGAGTTGAAGTCCACATGTCTTAAAGCTGCTAAGATTGAGGAACACTGCTATAGATTCCTCCATGGCATGATGTAGGTGCTGGGGGTTCCTGAAGCAGGACCAACAGCACAAGAAAAAAAGAATCTGGGATTATCGCAACAATTATTGTGTTGAAAGGAGGATCCTCACCCGTCTTTCCCAGCTTGCTGCTCTCCAGATAACACTTGATTGAGAAAGGCTGTTATAAGAACAACAGCCAGGCCGTGATAGCTGCAGCAGGCCAATCTACTCATGCCTGGACCTCCTTCCTAAGATCCACATAAGCTTGACAATGGGGGTGTGTGAATTGACTCCCCAAGAGACAACATGGAGATGAGAATGAAATGCGTCACAGCAAGTAATAAAGATCTTTGGTTATTGAGCAGATTAGAAGTAATATAATGTATACTTGCAATCACAGATGTGCACAGTGGTTAGGATCCCAGCTGGCAAACAGGCAGGGGATAATCACTCCCCGTACACAGAATTCCGCTGAAAAAATCTATCCCCCCTTTTTATCATGTGCCTTTTTTTTTTTTTTTAAGAAACAATACATGCTTTCTAACAGATATTTAGTCTCCTGGATTGACTCAGAGAGATATCAAAGATTTCTCTCTGGACTCATTCCCAAATGCCAGTTGCCACTTGAAGTACAAAACAGCATACCCCGGCCTGGCCCGTGCATCTGCTACAAGAATAAGTCTCCCCTCTCTTTGTCGACTGCAGTATCAAGTGCACGAAGAGCCCTACCTGACATTCAAGGTGGTGTCCCTGGTGCCCTACACCCGGAACCTCATTGATGAGAGCCTTCTCTCCCAGGATCAGGTAAATGAGAGCAAGGGGGGTGAGAAGACCTAGCCAAGGGCAAACCCTCCACTGGAGGGACACCACCTCAAACGTCACTACTCTCTTTCTGCAGATCCGGTACATCAATCAGTACTATGAGACCATCCGTCAGATCATTGGGCCTGAGCTGCAGAGGCGTCAGCTGGAGGAGGAATACCGGTGGCTGGAGCAGAACACACAGCCTTTTTCTCATGCCACACTGCTGGCAGCTTCTCTAGGCACCTTGGCAGTGAGCACACTGGCCTCTACCATTCTGCCAGCAGCACAGCATTGATCCAGGAGCACTCCCCAACCTCCTTCCTCCTCTTTGCCATATGACTCTACTCTCATTGTATGGTCCACCTTGACCCATATCTCACAGGCTGACATTTCAGGCCTCTATCAAGCCTTCTTCCCACCACAGTTGGGACCCCCACAATCTCCTGCATCTGTTTCCAGGCCAGGAACTATATAAATACATTCTCTGTTTCTCTCCTGGACCAAGCCTTGGTAGTCAAGGTGGAGTAGAGGCCAAAAGAAGGAAGGGGAGAGAGTATAATTTTAAGGTTCACAAAGTTGAGGTCTACTGGAGGGCAGTAGGTTGGGGAAGGCTGACTCAGAGGATTAATCATTATTTGGTGCACATACTAAGAACATATGAAGAGACAATGGTATGTCTGTTTGGTATCACACAGTGCCTTACACTCACAAACATGGACCTGCTACATTCACAAGCCTGGGTAGTAGTACTCCAGTTCCTATTGACAGGAGACCATTCAGGAGGAAATTGCCATTAATAGTCCACTCCTCCGTGAACTGATCCAGTCCTCTTTGAAAACCATCCCGATAGGTGCTTCTAATAAAGTAACATCTAAAGAATTTAACAGAGTGTTATCTTTTTATGGCTTGAGAACTGAAATGGAGGAAGAAAAAAAAATCCCAGGCAAATCTGCATTCCATCTGTGCCTGGGATCCTCATCGGCTAGTAAAAATATCATATACAAAATTAAAGTCGGAAGCTGAGCCCTTAAAGGCTACTGCTGACGAGAACAGTGGCTCCTTGGGGGTGAATGGGATAAGAGTTGACTCCATCTGAAGAGCAAGAAAAATAAGAGCCCAGCCTTCTGGGCTGAAACCAACAGTCCAATAAACAATAGTTTGGAAAGCGACTACAGTAAATGACTACCTCCATGACTCCTAGTGTGACTGCCATTTGCTGGGGTCCCAACCCTGGGACAGGAAGCAAGGTCTGACCGTTTGGAAAGCTGAAGCTCAAGACTCTTGCCCTGCTTTGCCACCCGTTGAGGTTGCAATTCAAAGGGAAGCCTGCAGCGATTGCCAGCTTAGAAAAGGGCTTGCCCCCAATTTGTGGCTTGGTAGGGGGTAACTTGGTGCTCTGCGTGCAGAAAGTCTGGAGTTCAGCCTTTGCCACCGAGGAATAGACCGCAAGTGGTCCTCTGCTGGAGAGATTAGGGAACTGCTAGCTGTCTGTATAGTCCAGTGTTTTTCAACCATGGGAACTTTGAGAGGTGGTGGGGTTCTAACCCCCCCTGAATCCCC